TATAAAAATTATTTTTATAAATACTTTTTTATTTTATTTTATTTTAATTATTTTTAATTTTTTTAATAATTATAACTTTAATAATATAATAATTATAACTTTAATAATATAATAATTATAAATATATATTTATTAATTAATATTATATATAAATAAATAATTAATTAGTTTAAAAAATTTTACTTATATATTTAAAATTATTAAATTTTAATATAATTATTAAAAATAATTAAAATTTATAATTAAATTTATTTATATTTAATATATTTTTTATTTAAACTTTAAATAATATTATTTAAATTATTAAATTTATAATAATAATTTTATTAATATTATTTTTTAATTATATAATTAAAATTATTTAAAAAAATAATTTAATTATATATAAAATAATTATATATATATATATATATTTAATATTTAAAATTATTATAAAAAATTTTATATAAAAGTTTTAAAAATTTTATTATTAAAAAATAATTAATAAAAATATTATATAAATTTTTTAAAAAACTTTTTAACTTTAATTTTAAATAATTTTAATTATAAAAAGCAATATTAAATAAGTTGTATAATATTTTTTTTTACGTTAAATTATAAGTAAAATTTAAAAGTAAAATTTTAATTTCGCATTTAAATAATTTTATAAATATTAATTATAATATTATATAATTTAAATAAGAAAATAAATAACTTAATTATAAATATTTTAACTTTAATTATATTATAATATAATATTTATAACTAAAATTATTTAAGATTAAACTAAAGAAATCTTTTAAAAAAATTATATATTTTCCCTTAATATTTAAAATTATTATAAAAAATCTTATATAAAAGCTTTAAAAACCTTATAAAAACCTTATTATTAAAAAATAACTAATAAAGGTATTATATAAGTTTTTTAAGAAGCTTTTAAGGTTTAATATTAAATAATTTTAATTATAAATATTATAATAAAATATATTTAAAGCTAAAATATATATAATTAAATTATTTATTTTCTTATTTAAATTATATAATATTATAACTAATATTTGTAAAATTATTTAAATATAAAATTAAATAATATTTTAATAATAAAAGGTAATAAGCATATAATATAACAAACTTTTTAATATTATATAGCTTATTTAATATTACTTTTTAATAAATATATATTATAAAATATTTAATTATAATAATATTTATTTAATAAATTATTTAAATATAAAAAATAATAAATAATTTATTTTAAAAATAATTATATAATAATAAATTTTTTATAAATAAAACTTTTAAAAATAATATTTATATATTATATAAATTTAAAAAGTTATTTTTTATTTAAAATAATATTAAATAAAAAATATTAATATAATTAATAATAATATAATTATTATAATTTTATATAAAAGTTTATATTTTTTATTTTTTTTAAATAATTAATATTTAATATTATAAATAAATAAATAATAAAAAGTTTTTTAAATTAAACTTTTATATTATATAATTATATAATTATATATTATTATTTATTTTTTATTTTTATAAAAGTTTTATTAATTTATTATAAATTATAAAATTTTTATATATTATTAAAATTATTTTAATAATTTATTATAAAAATAAATAATTAAAAAGTTTAATATATTTTATATAATTTAAATAATATAATAAAAATAAAATTAAAATAATATATTTTATAAAATTATTTTTATATTTAAATTTAAATATTTATATAAAGCTTATAAATATTAGCTTATTATAAGGTAAATATATGGCTTATGCGTGGCTATATAGTCCTTTCCAATATTAGGATTAGCGCTTATCCTTTTTTTTTATTTTGGCACAGATGTACGATCCGGCCACCGTATGCGGGGTTAGCAATCACTGTATGACGATAGGTACCTGGCTTTCAGACTTGACTTACATGTGTAGCTCTATCCATGGATGGAAGTCGCGCTCTCCCTGAACCCTTTCCAGTATCAAGCGAAACATAAGGAAGTTTATACTTGAGCCTTTATCTCCTTGGTATTGATAAGTGTATTTGGAAACATCCTCCCTACATGTAGTCGGAAAAAGACGAATTATTAGTAAGAGCGGGTGTATTCTGGCCCCGCATTCACAAGTACTATAATGAAGCTTCTCTCATACATGACGCCGGTCCAAGATCATTTACACTGAATCTCATCAATCACTCGACTAGACTAGACTCAATATAACCCATTCTCAGTTACAGTTTCGACATATATCTACGTCTAGGGCTGAGATAATTCTTTGATTGAGTCTTATGACTACCTAGGTCCTCATCGGAAGTCTCTCATTCTGAACCATGTCTAGTGCTACATTAAGTGTCGCATTACTCATCGTCTCTACGACGGCAGCTAAAGATCCTTCTACAGATTCCTCTCAAGCTGCTCTCAGCGATGTCATTGAGAAGGAAGGGGACGGAAAATGGAACCTTATCGATACCAAGATTGTGCCCGACAATGTGCCTCAAATTCAGCGGCAGATTATGATGTGGACGGATATTGCGGCAGAAACCATCAACCTCATTCTAACCACCGGGGGCACTGGCTTTGCAGTGACCGACAACACTCCAGAGGTACATAAAACGAGTTAAAATGTGATCGAAATATGTAGATGTCAAGCTAACAGAACCAGGCCGTATCAGCTCTACTCCATAAGCCGGCCCCTGGCCTTGTTCATGGCATGCTAGCAGCTTCTTTGAACGTTACTCCATGTTAGTAGATCCGTTTTCTACTTAAATGGCGAGAACGCACACTGACATCGAAAAGTTGCCATGATGTCTCGCCCAGTAGCAGGCGTCAGAAATAAATCCATAATCGTCACGCTTCCGGGTTCACCAAAAGGGGCTCGCGAAAACTTACAGGCAGTTTTGAAAATGTTACCACACGCGTGTCTCCAAGCTGCTGGTGCGGATTCAAGAAGATTACATGCAGGCGGGGTGAAGAAACTTGAGGCAGAAGCAGGCATTAGACCGGGCGGAGGCCACTCACACTTTCATGACCATCATCACGGTCCTGGAAGTGCCCACCAGCACAGTCATGGACACAGTCATGGCCACGGCCACGATCATACCAGCTTGGTCAGGCACACGGCACCTAACTCAAACCCATTGTCCAATGACCCTAGCCTCGGCCCTAGCCGGAGAAATAGAGAATCGCCATACCCAATGCTTTCGGTCGATGATGCCCTAAGCAAGATTAAAGACCACACACCGGCGCCAGAAATTGTCGTCGCTAAGGTCGATAGGTCATTACCTGGTCATGTCCTAGCTGAGGATGTACAAGCGAGAGAAAATGTGCCTGCCTTCAGAGCAAGCATTGTCGACGGATATGCAGTTGTTGTTCCCAAGGACGGAAATCTGAAGGGCGTCTTCCCTGTCATCTCAGTGTCTCATGCTGCACCTGGGGATGTTAAACCCCTGAAGGAGGGGGAAATTGCTAGAATAACGACTGGTGCACCACTACCTCCCGGAGCTACTTCTGTCATCATGGTCGAGGACACGATTCTGAAGACTATGACTGACGATGGCAAAGAAGAGAAGGAAGTGGAGATTCTGGCCGATGATGTGCAGGAGGGAGAGAATATTCGCGAGGTTGGCAGCGATATTAAAGCAGGAACAACTATCCTCAGTAAGGGCGAGCAAATCTCTGCAGTCGGTGGCGAAATAGGTCTCCTCGCTGCTGTTGGTGTCGCGGAAGTGAAAGTATACCGTAAGCCCGTCATTGGGGTACTGTCTACTGGAGACGAGATCGTTCAGCACGATCGACCAGGTGATTTACGACTAGGAGAAGTCCGTGATACCAACCGCATTACCTTGATGTCCGCTGCGAAAGAATGGGGATACCATGTCATCGATCTCGGTATTGCAGCAGATAAACCTGGTACGTTGGAAGAGACGCTCAGAGATGCATTACGACAAATTGATTTAATCATTACAACCGGAGGAGTCTCAATGGGCGAACTCGACCTCCTGAAGCCGACAATTGAGAGGTCGTTAGGCGGGACGATCCACTTCGGTCGCGTTGCCATGAAGCCAGGGAAGCCGACGACATTCGCTACTATTCCTGTAAAGAACAATGCCGGCGAGCGAGTCACTAAGGTCATATTTTCTCTTCCAGGAAACCCTGCCTCAGCTATTGTTACATTCCATCTCTTCGTCTTGCCTTCTCTTCACCAGATCTGCGGTGTCTCGCCGGTCGGTCTGACTAAGGTTCCCGTCACGCTTGCGCATGACTTCAGCCTCGACAAGACGCGGCCCGAGTACCACCGCGCCATCGTCACCGTAGGCAAGGACGGCAATCTAATTGCTGCTAGCACAGGCGCCCAACGAAGCTCCAAAGTTGGTAGCCTTAGGGGTGCTAATTCCCTATTATGTATGCCCAGCGGGAAGGAACCTCTCAGGAAGGGGTCAAAAGTTGATGCTCTTTTGATGGGTGGTATTAGAAGCGAGCTGTGAGCATTTTAGTGGTTTTGCTAGCGCACTTGTTGCTCTGGCGGAACACTGCCCTGGACCCGACGGACCGTGGGACCCCCATCACCGGATGCGGAGGTAATAACGGCTGCTGAAAGGTTATATGGTTATCCAAACTCTTGGACGATTACTACGGACACTTCATGGCTTATTGTTATTGTCAGCTTATGTACCTGGGAGAAATAATGTGAAGGCAAGACTTTGTCAGCTAGCTTCTAAGAGTACCATCGCCTTGAAGATGTTTTAACAAGCCCCAGCGAAATAGTTTCTCCACCATTAACCCTGTAATGTTCATACATATTAATATTCCCCCCTTACTACCGTACTAGTAGGAACCGGAGTGACAGCCGGTCGGTACGCAAGTGGATTTGTTTGCATTCGCTTAATTAGGGTAGCCCCATCTAGAGGTCTATCATCCACCCATCTATTGAGCCTCAGTTCTATAATCGGACCTACGACGTTAGATTTTTCATCCAGGGAGACTCGATCTCTCACAGGTTCTCAACTGGACCAAAGCGGGCTTGTGGTTTAGTGGTATAATACTCTCTTAGCACGTGATGAAGCATGTCACCGTCTGCACGACTGTTGGCTACCCTCGTCTGGTCTAAAATGGGAGTGGTCCGGGGTTCGATTCCCCGCGAGTCCATCGTATGGAGGTTAGATTCCTCTTGTGCCACCATTATTTTTTCTCTCTTTTTCACCCCAAGGTTATGTGCCCACCAACCGACAAGAAGCCTCGAACTTAGTGCATTGACATGGAAAATAGTATAAAGATGTATTGAGATGTAGTTGATTTTGTCTGTAATGCAATCTAAGGTAGGTACCAATCTCCTTTTTCCTTCCTGAAACCACAATCTAAATGTAACATTATAGGTAATTTCCAATCTATCAATGCAGAAGAGCTCATCAAATCATCGCTTCGTTTTTAAACATCGTTTACCAGCCTTCTATACTAACGCCTTGCGTCCCTGTGTAATTAGTACGAGGGAAACGACTGTCCTAGTAATCCCTAAAGTCAGCTTGTAGGCGAATTACAGTAGGCACAAGTCTAGATGTGTATCGTCCTTCCTTGTGGGGATGGCCTCCAAATCAGCTATACTGTTATGATAGGGCTTGTTCCATTTTCGTCATTCCGCGAGTCTGGGCCGGGTTTACCTGCCATTAAACCACTATCCACCACGATATTAGGGACATGCTTTCTGGGTACCCAAAGAAGCTGCACAATGCCAATTACTCCAACGCCGGCGCAGCTAAACCAGGCTGCTGCAGAGCCGCCTGCGCTGTAGATGATCCCGACTACAGGAGGCGATACAGTTCGGGCTAGGCAGCAGGCTGACATCGCTAACCCGTTGACTTTCCCAAGCACCGACGGTGATGGGGTAGCATCTTTCAGTAGAATCAACGCACAGGGGATAACGACAATGCCGAAGAAGCACTGTAAGATCATCGAGAGGTATATGGCAGGGGATACAAGGAAGGATGGCATAGCGGACAAGAAGGGCATAATCACATATGCGAGGGGGTAGAGAATAACGTTGAAGACGAACGACTTCCAGACTCCGACACGATCGACAAAGATGGGGAATATAACACCTTGGATGAAGAGTCCGAGGATTCCATTTACGGAAAGATAAACCCCCACGTCATGAACGGTATATCCCAAGCCACCGACAAAATCAATTTGGCCGGGAGGCGTTGCTGGTTTATCCAGGAGATGCGTCGGTAGAAGGGTGTTGAAGGCCATTTGATGGTATGACACCAGGACCAGGGCGATGGTTACCATAATGATGGTAAAATTGAAGGCATTCCCATTGAAAGTCTCACTTTGCTTGGGTTGCGCCGGGGGTAGTTTGATTGAGCACACAGTCCCGAAAGACGACCTTCTTAGATCAAAGGTCTGTTCAATGGGTACCGGAAGGCTCTCCTCGACGAACACCGGCCTGTCAGCGGTAGTCCGCGACCGACTCCTGGCAGATGATCTTCGGTGTTTCGGGCGATGAAGCGGAGTACGCTCGTTAGTGATATCGTCATCTTCGAAAACATCTTCATGCATGGCTTTACTGCGCCGTGGGTTGGTCTCTTCGAGGAAGAGCATGCCCTGGATAATAGCTAATATAATGACAGCGACCGACACGAGATTCGGTAGGAGATACGGGTACCTCCCGAACAGCCCATCGGCGGGAAATAACGACGGGTAGAACTTTGCTGGTTGGGCTAAGAATCCTCCCATCGCAGACCCTATTATTCCACCTAAGGTCCAGACGAATGGCTGCGAAGCGTAGGCTTTCGGCTCATGCGCGGGGTTCTTGACCATCTCAGCTACCATTGTTTGCATGACCTGTCATTGAGATAAGTACTTCGAACTGATTATCGGGAATGAGAATAAAACCCATGGCTTTAGCGGGAAGGGAAGGGTTCTAGGAGGATCAAGGGATGTTAGTAGTAATAGATGAGAATCTACTCACAGCGACATTCCCATTCAATGCTCCGCCGATAAATCGGGCCAATAGCGCAATCCAATATTTGGTGGCCAATCCGAAGATGAGGCTCGAAATGGCCACGCCTCCGAGCCCGAATAGGACAACCGGCTTTCTTCCGTATCGGTCGGAGAGAGCCCCCCAACCAATGGCCGTAAGAGCTTCGGCGACGGCGTACGCCGAGACCAGAAGACCGGCGTAGAAGGATGCATCGGTATCATCCCCGCCGTGGAGATCCTGCACCATCACATAGGTGTAGGCGAGGATGGAATTGAACGCGATCGGTTCCGAGAAGCGACATATTGCTATCAATCGGGTTTAGTCAAGAGTCCATTGGCGTGAAAGGATTTTTTGTAAGGGTTAATACCAAGTATAGTGAGTTGCTTGGTGGGAAAGGCATGTGAACTCGGATCCTGCGTTCTGTCTGAAGACATAGTCTAGAATCTACCACTAATCCGATAGAGGTCTGATTCGGTGCACTTTATTTTAGTTCTTTCCTTCAATCTACTAGCTCTAGGAGCTCTGTTGTTGGAGAAAATTGCTGATCCCACCCCAGCTTGAAGAAGGTGGTTTAGAAGATGGGTTTTAGCTGCTGTGCGGGGAAGCGCGGGCTTGCGAGGTCGGCCTCAGGGGTGGCATCGTCGATCAGTATCCATTCTTTGGAGTTTACTCGGCAGAACACCCTTGTAACTCGAGATATGGTCTCACTACAAGTAAGTTACGGGATCACAGCGTCACGCGAACAGATTGAGAGGAGGGGTAGATCCCGTGAAGGTAAATAGACTAGGTTAGGAGGTAAGAATGCTCCTATTTCGAGTGGTCGGTAGATAATGTAACAACCGTTGCTGGATCACTTAACTCTCTAGTGACCGAGTTACGCATATTGCGTTCTATATACCTTGGTAAGTACTTAAGGTATCATTACCAAATTGCCTTCTATGGACGCCGTTATCTAGGAGGTAGGTTTACACATGGGCATTTTCGTAAGTACCTATTGCAGAATATTAACATTTCCAGCCGATATTCGACATGAAGGAATGTATGTAAAGGTTGAATAGAGCGTCCACGAAGAAGCTACCACTTGGTTCCCAATGACCTCTACTAGTCGCTTTCGTCTGAATCATCGTTGTATTCGCTGAGCGGACCAATGAAAATCGACTTAACGGAGCTAAAGATGCTCTTGACGTCGACATTGTCTCTGCAAATATTTTATTAATTAGTTAAACTAGTCGTTGAAGGGGGTAAGTTGGGTTTTGGGAAAGGGTATGTGACCTACCGACCATCAGGGCGACCAGAGCGGTCCAGGTATCTGAGATGCTTCTTCCCATTCGCTGAATCGCCAAACCTCACGAAATGGAACGAGACGTCGTTCTTATCTAGTCCCCTGTCTTCTAGTTCCCTCCTTAGCCGCGACAGGGGCCGCCCTACGCCGCAGGCTTCCCTATTTCCCCTGTCCCCCCAGTTTCCATCAGTAAAAACATAGACGCTAGTGGGTTTCTTCGTGAAGAAGTTGAAGTTGATGCCAAATACTCGATTTGGCAGGTGCGGTGTGATCGCCTTGTCGACAAGGCCTGCAAAGCGAACCTCCATCGTATGCGGCATACGTTGGTACTGTTGATTCGCAACAAGCCGAATTAACTTCTTGCTCCGGCGCCTACGGTGCAAGCATCCCGGGTTTGATGCGAAGGAAAGCTCAACTTTGTGTCCCTCGAGCTGCCTTGTTAGGTACAAGAGTGCGGGGAACACTTCTTCCACAGATTTCGCGTGTTCTTTCATCGATGTCGAGTCGTCAATGAATATCAAGTGATGTCTGTCGGGAACGTTGACCTTGAGCTCGCTTACGAGCTCTTGGACTATTCTGGTAGAGGCGGTAGGGCTACTCGCGGTACTACCTGCAACGGACTGCCGTCTTCCGAAAATTTCTCCGAGCTTCGCTAATGACAGACACTCAGGCTCTGTCATGACTTGTGGATCCGATATCAATATATCGAGAGGGACGTTGGGCTTTTCGTTATTTGGCGTGTCAAAAACCTGCTGGAATTTCTCTTCTAATTGCTTGGCGTTGTATCGATCGTTAGCATTAGCAAGTAACATGTGCTTGTTTATGATATCAATAATACGTGGTGTGATGTTGTCGTTGATGGATTGGCAGTGTTCGCGAATGATTGCGTGCATATCATCCACTACCGATAAGCGGCTGACACCATCGTGAAAACAGCCTTCGTAGTCGTTCCCGCGAAATGTTCGCATGGACTGATGGTAGGCTCTTCGTCGATTAAGGTAGCTAATTATCTCTTCGTGGCCACCCTTTATCCAGGCACAAACGTCACTGAGGACGGCACCGAGTGAGAAGATATCGGCTCTCGTATTTATCATATTTGGGGCATTCTCGGTGTAAGAGGCGTGGTGACTACATTCAGGTGAACCTATTTACTATTAGGATTAAGTAGAGAAGTAACTCGAGGGATAACACACTGTAGAGTTGGTTCCCAACTTGATCGAGCCCCGTCGCCTCAGAGCTGTTTGCCTTTGATTCTCTGACGTGCGTAAATAGTCCGAAGTCTGCTATCTTAGGAACGAAGTCATAATGCGAGCCTGATAACCCTTTGAAGAGTAATATGTTCTCGGGTTTAATATCTTCGTGGATCCTGACGAGAATATTAGCCAGCCAATCGAGAAACATCATACCTTTACACCCAATGCCTCATCTTACCCATTGACTTTTCCATCAATGTCCATCAAATGATGGACACAATGAAGACCTCGGAAGCAAGGAGATAAGCTCTCCCAGAACTCCTGGACCTCGACCCCTTTCGGACTTCGAGTCCTTCTGAGGAACTCCGCAAGATCCCCTCCATCGGCGTATTCGAGTATGATGTTATAAGTGCCGTTTTGTCGAAAGGAACCGTAGTATTTGATGACATTCGGGGGAGACGAATTTTTCAGCATTCGTAAAGCTTTGATCTCGCGTTCGTAGTACTTTGAGAATTTAGGACGATGATATTTCTTCAGTACGAACGTATCTGTCATTGGTCCATCTTTCTCGTTCTATTCGTAGAAGGAAAACGAGTCAATAATAGCGCTGTCATAATTCGGGAAGCTAGATAGATACCTGTGGCACAAGAAAGTTACATGAACTGTCAATTGTTATTTTTTGAATGATTGCTGC